ATGCTCCCCATGTGCTAGTCCACTTTCTCATGAAAAAGGAAACCATTTCCTTTACTGGATGCTCAGTACAGATAGTCGTCTTCCTCCTAGCAGGGTGTACAGAGTATGCACTGCTGGCAGTGATGGCCTGTGACTGCTGGGTAGTTCTGTGCAAGCCCCTGCACTACTCTGCCATCATGACCTGGAGGGTTTGTATCTAGCTGGACCTCTCTACATGGTGTCAGCAAAGACAGTGCCTATTTACTGAACACCACAAATATAAAACGTAACCTGGAATAAAATGGTGGAAGTGAAAAAAAATTATGATTGTGTGGTGACTGTAGTATACAAAGGAAATTTTTCTTAGTTTTAGAAGGCTTGGCTACCTCAGGCCCCCTTGGCTATCTCAAGAGCAGACAAGACCAATATCTAAAAATACTTCCAACTCAATTGACATGCACTAAGCATAGTGGCTAAGACACTTGCCTGCTAACCAGACGGCTGGCGGTTCAAACCCACCAGCCACTCCTCGGAAGGAAGGTTGGGCAATCCTACTTCCGTAGTGATACTGCCTCGGAAACCCAAGGAGGGGTCGCTATGAGTCGGGGCCGACTCGACGGCACATAACAACAACAACAACAACAAGTTTTGGACAACCAAGTGTTTGCAATTGATTTCATTATTAGAAATATGTATTAAATTTTTTTTAAAGCTCTACACATTAATCAGTACAACTAAAAATAAGTAATATCATAATCTAATTTTTCTTAAGAAATAGTAATGAGATTTTAAGGGGCTCTGGTAGCATAGTGCCTAAGGCACTTGACTGCTAACCAGAAGGCTGGTGGTTCAAACCCACCAGCCACTCCTCAGAAGGAAGGTTGTGCAATCTATTTCCATAGTGATACCGCCTCGGAAACCCAAGGAGGGGTCGCTATGAGTTGGGTCCGACTCAACGGCATATAACAACAACAAGGAGAATTTAGTGTTCTTATAAGGTTAAGAAAAGCAATTGAAAGCAAGAGAGAATCTGAGCTGATTACGTGAAAAAATTGACCCATCCATATTGGACTGTATAATGTTTTGATTATATGACTATTTTATTATTTTTTCCTCTTCTTAATAAAAGATCCAGAGATTTCAGTAGGTATTTAAAATTATAACATGAAAGGCTTCAGAATATTTTACAAAGTAAGAGCTCTTTGGAATTCCTGGTTATATCAGCTTTTAGGACCTCATTGTTAGTAAGTTCCTCTCAGGAAAACTCTTTATTCAGACATTTGGAGAGTTTGGGTTTGTGTCCTTGAGATAGGTGGTTGGTATAAGGTTAGGATGGAGAAACATTCTGAATGCCTAGAATAAAATGCAGTGAGAATTGCCTAGTGGGATTTGGATCTTCAGGCTGCCAAGGCTTCACCATTCTGTACTCAGCCCTCACCAGTCCACTGCTTTGTGCTTACCTCTGCTCAGCCCACCAGGTGAGAGGAATAACAACAACAAAAAAAGCCCAAACTCACTGCCATCGAGTCATTTATGACTCATAGCGACCCCTTTGGATTTCTGAGGCGGTAAATCTTTATGGAAGTAGATTGCCCAGTCTTCTTTCTGCAGAGTGGCTGATGGGTTTGAACCACCAGCCTTCTGGTTAGCAGTCAAATGCCTTAGCCACTATGCATTAAGGGGCCGTGTCTCTTCTACAGGATTTGTAGGGAATTGGCCATTCCTCTCCAGTATGACTTTTCTTTCTTTTGACCTGTCTTTAATTCTTATATAGAATTCTTAGTACAGAAATTCTGCTCCAGGTTGCCTGTAAGGCATCAGATTCTACACACAAGATGCCCTCCAAATCTCTAGGCTAATAGCCTCCCACACTGACTTCACCTTTACACAGCAACAATCCTGCCGGATAACCCACTGCCCTTAGCTGACTCTGCCTTTCCATCCCTTTACTTTTTTGTATCTCATGCAGTCAGGGGCTACCAGAAAACCTAATTGTTTGATTTTCAAACAATGGGGCCAGTGACATGAATAGAACAGTTATTTGAAGGGCTTTGTTACTATAGGAGTAGTAATTTGCTTTTTTTTTTCCCCCCACAACGTGCATACACTACCCTGGTCTCAGATAGAAAGTAAAATACTTGTCCAATTTATAATGTTTAGTACTTCTTGAATGCAGGGAAAGAAGGATTAAGACCTATTTATTTTACTTGTTTTGCACATTTAACTATTGCCCGCCCCAGGTGAGTGTGCTTCATCCCCAGGGACTCATGGGTTGGTCCAATAGATCATATACCTTTTATACTTCACTTACATTTTATTGTTCCTAATTATATAAGTGTGTTTGGGTGTATCAGTAAAACATGTATAAATTTATATGTGTGATAATTTGTATGTGGGATACATGTTTATTGATTTGCTCAATAGATATTTATTGGAAAATTTATCTCTGCCAAGTGATGGAGATAATTAAAGAAATTAATAAAATAGAAAAGAAGAGTCACTTGAATGTAAATACATACTATACAGTAGAAAAATTGTATTGATAGCTGGTGGTACAAAACGCAGAGGAGCTGATAAGCCAGGAAAACCTGTGGAGCAGTTCTAGTCTATAATACATGGGTAGCCATCAGTCGAGGTCCAACTGGATGGCAGCTAACAACAAACAACAACAATAGCTTTTCGCCTTAGTTTAGGTTCTCAAAATAAGAACCTATGAATAGAACTTAGGTGTGGGTAGTTCATTTCAAAGGAAGCAAGGGAAGGGAAATGGAAGGATGAGAGAGGGAACCACTGAAATCCAATAAAGTGCAGAATTTTGAACGTGCTTCTGTAGACCATGTATTCTCAGCAGAGAGAATATAGCTTCCAAGGTTATTGGAAGGTAAAAAAAAATCTTTGACATGCAATGATAGGTGGCCCTGCAAAAGGTCACAGTACATGACAGATATAGGTATACCTATGGTATAAAATTCCATACAGTTGTTGACTAGTAGAAAAAAAATTTCTGGAAAGGCTCCTTGTTGTTGTTGCTGTTGTTTGCCTTCGAGTCGGCCCCGACTCATAGCAATCCCTCCTTGGGTTTCCGAGGCAGTATCACTACGGAAGTAGGATTGCCCAACCTTCCTTCCGAGGAGTGGCTGTTGGGTTTGAACCGCCAGCCTTCTGGTTAGCAGTCAAGTGCTTTAACCACTATGCTACCAGAGCTCCTTTAGGAAAGGCACCTTAGGACATAGGTTATGAAAAAAGATTGTTAAACCTGGGATAGACAATTAGGGCTCAATTCTGTGGGACTCAACTTCTAAGGAACACACAGAATGCCTCCAAGAAATAACTGGCACATTTATTCATCAAATCCCATTGGTTGAAGGTGGTTCTGAGGGCATTTACTTGCCTGTAGTTTGAAAGTCCTAGAGCAGAATGCTGAGACACTGGCATCAGACATTGGGCCCTGGAGGTGGCATGTCGGCAGGACCAAGAAAATCAGAGCTGTCCATCACAGCTGAAGGTCAGGTGTGAGATGAGCTGAGGCTTTTTGTGTCATGGGGCTACTAATATCCTAATCAGAAGTTCAAAGTTGTCTATTGGCCCTGGCTTCTCTCCCTCCAGAATGGCACTGGGTGTACAAGTGTCATTATGATGCATTTCTGAATGCCTTATTTCTTCATGCAGCTTTCACTTGTCATGTGAAAGACTAGAGCCAGGGCTAGGGCCAGGATTATGATTCACTGACAAAAATTTCCCTTTTCTTTTCTAAGTGTGTGGATTGCTATTTAAGAAGCCTCTTTGTAAAAAATGTCATGGGGGGAAAAAACAAGAACAAATAACTATTGTTTATTTTTTTATTCCCCAAACCATATAATTATCTCCTACTCCATATAGATGAAGTTTTCATTGATCTCTGGGTTTTGATGAGCTATTAGGTATTTTGAAATCTGAAACCAAGGATGTTTATTTTGTTTTGTTTTACTTTTTTTAAAATTTCAATTTAATTTTATTTTAAGAGCTTGTTTTACATTCAACATCACATGCACATTTAGTTTCACTCCCCATTTACCATGTTCAACCCTAACCCAGTCTCATCCCCTCCTTACCCTGTAACCCTTTCCCTGAGCACCTCATATTTATGCACTCCTGTTTATCCTGTATTTCCTCAATTTGAATGTTGGTCCTCTGGTGTCCTGGGGTCGATTGCTCTAAGGGATGTATTACCATAGAGTATGCAGGTATGTCATCCTGGGTTGAGTGGTCTGTGTGTACATCTTGTTAACTATTGGGCTGAAAGCCCACCCTTGGGGGTGCATTTTATTCCATGTGCAGAATGTATTCCAGGGCCATAGTATTGAGGGTCTCACCAGATTTCATCTGACCAGTAATTCTGGTCATTACTGAGTTTTTGGATTTTGTTCCACCTGTTCCCTTCCACTCTATCCAGGATCTCCAGATTTAATCCTTTCCTTACTGGTTGGGATTGGTAGTCAGGCACCATCTAGTTCTTCTGGTCTCGAGGGCCATCATGTCCTAGGGCTGATTGCTTCCAAATGCACTTTTTTCTTTTTTCATTCTTCTTTGCTTTCCATGCTGGGAGACCATTAGCTACATCTTAGATGGCTGTTCTACTTTTTTATTGAGTAAACCAGTTTACCTCTTAGATCCAAAATTGAGGTAAATAAGAAGTATTTCTTGAGTAGGAAAAGCAAAATTGAACAAAATTTAACTCCTTTAATACAATTATATAGTCAGTTAGCAATATAAATATCTTAGTATCAAGATGAGTGGAGAAACCACGTAGAGTGTTATACTTAGCTTACCAGTTGGATCAAGAAAGGGGGGAAAAAGTAAATTGGTGGAAACAACAACATGCATCCAAAAGGTAACTGGAACTTGGTTGGAAATAGCTAAAATCCAACGGCCCAATAAGGTATGCTTCTTAACATTACAAATTATTTATAGAGTTGGTGAAGTCAAACATTCAGAATGCATCTGTTTAATTTCAGCTGCCAGGTAGACAAGAAAAATCATCAATGGAAAAAGGAAATCAAACTTCTGTAGCTGAATTTATCTTGCTAGGACTTTCACAGGATGCAAAGGTCCAGATCTTGTTGTTTTGTGTTTTCCTGACCTTTTACCTTCTCTCTGTATTTGGGAATTTGCTCATAATCATACTTATTCAAACTGACTCTCGACTTCACACTCCCATGTACTTTTTCCTCAAAAACTTGTCCTTTGCTGACTTCTGCTTCTCCACAAGCATTGTTCCCCAGATGCTAGTCCACTTTCTTGTGAAAAAGAAAACTATTTCCTTTGCTGGATGCTCTGCACAGATAGTTGTCTTCCTCCTAGCAGGATGTACAGAGTGTGCACTGCTGGCGGTGATGTCCTATGATCGCTATGTGGCTGTCTGCAAGCCCCTACACTACTCCACCATCATGACCCAGAAGGTTTGTGTCCAGCTGGCTGGAGTGTCCTGGATTATTGGGGCCTTTGTATGTTCAGTGGATAGTGCATTTACACTGTGTCTCCCCTACCAGCGGCAGAATATAATTAATCATTATTTTTGTGAACCTCCTGCACTCCTGAAACTGGCTTCAGCAGACACCTACCAAGCTGAGATGGCTCTCTTTTCTATGGGTGTGGTGATCCTCCTAGCTCCTGTCTTCCTCATCCTTGTGTCCTACTGGCATATCATCTCCACTGTGATGCGGATGAAGTCAGGGGAGGGGAGGCTCAAGGTTTTCTCCACTTGTGGTTCCCATCTCACAGTTGTGGTTCTCTACTATGGCTCTGGAATATTTGCTTACATGAGACCCAATGCCAAGGTAATGAGTGAAAAGGATAAGGTCATCTCTGTGTTCTACTCAGTTATGACTTCCATGTTGAACCCCATCATTTATAGCCTGAGGAACAAGGATGTGAAGGGGGCTCTCAAGAAACTGGCTGGAAGATAGCCTTCAGAGGCAGTAATTTTCAAAAACTTTCTTAAATGCTTGCAAACGCTGTGCCTCTAATTGTGTATTGCCAATAGTGTCTCCAATGTGTCCTTTTTTTTTCTTCTCTTGATTGTTGCTTCAAGTTACTTTCTTTCCACAAATATTAATTCAATGCTTGCTTAGTGCAAGTACTGTGTCCAGCACCTCACAATATGAGTAAAACTGTGCCTTCCTTGTAAGAACTTAAAGTCCACTAGGAAGACAACACAAACATAGAGAAGAATGTTTTAAAAAGTTAAAGAGAGAAAGAATATTTTAAGGTAAGAAAAAAGAAAAGTATTTGTGAACCAAAGGCAAGGACAATAGCTTATTTGAAGATCAGGAACATTCCCTGAAGATTACTGCACTAAAATGAGACTTGATTTGTTATTAGGATTAATAGGATATCAACAAGCAGCAATGGGTAGGAAAAGGACTAAAAGCACAGATATGGGAAAGTGATGATATGTTAAGGGGAAAAGAATACCCCTTAACATATCGCAGGAAACAACACTTAGAAACAAATTATGGATGGTCTTGTCAAAAGATGAACTGGTGCCTACCATATTGAGGAGAAGATCTTATGTAAAAGTTTAACCAGTTTGTCCTTTGGTAAAATTGAGAATGATATGATCACATCTTCACTTTATGAGCTTCATTCTGAAGGACAATAATTGAAAGTCTTAATCTTGGCAATTTGCATGATCCAAGCACCACAATTCTTCAAAGACTTTATGTTCTAGATATTCTGTTAGGCGCTATTACATCAGTGATGTTCAATATCTGAAGAGAATTTTTTATCTAATCTTTAATTTCAAGTGTGAAGGACATCTTATAGATCTTATTATCCAACTATCTATTGCTTTAATTTTTGCTGTAATTTCCTTACTTAATAACTCACACTTACTCAGTCCATTATATTATTAAGATATCTGGGCTCTTATTTTCACTCTTCATATTATAATCACTGGTATGTACGCTTCCTAATAATTTATTTATTATTTATTTACTTTTTTCAAGAAAGGATTTTAATTGAGAGATCATATAGTATGTGTCTGGTAACATGGTAGGTACTGAGAAAATTATAAGAACAGTTTAAATGTGAATATGCTATAACAATAGTGCTAGAAAAAATAGTAGAACAAATGAATTGTTCAGCTCAGCTGGGTGGTGGTGGTGGGAAGCTGATGATAACACCATTGAAGAAGATTCTCACTGAAGAACAAACACTCTGATTAGACAGGACTGGAGGAGGAAAAGATATCTCAGACAGATGGAGACAGCCTATGGAGAGGGAATGAGACATAAAAGAACAAGTACTTTAAAGCAGTTGGAGAAGTTTTCTATGGGGAATGAACAAAAAGCTAATGTAGAGAGGTAGGCTTCACATCAATCATGAGATGTATAAAGATTTTTGGACTGCATCATATAAATAATAAAACCAAACTCACTGCCATCGAGTCACTTCTGACTCATAGCAACTCTTCTTTGGGTTTCTGAGGCAGTATCTCTACGGAAGTCGGTTTCCCAGTCTTCCTTCCGAGCAGTGGGTGGTGGGTTTGAACTGCCAATCTTCTGGTTAACAGTCAAATGCCTTAGGCACTATGCCACCAGAGCTCCTATATATTCCTATATACATAATAAGGAGGCATTAAAATGTATTAAGCATGAAAGTATCAAGACCGGATATATGTTTTAATAAAATGTTTGGATGGCTACATGAAACATGGGATTGTGTTAGGATAAACTAAACTATACTATATATTAAATTAACTATATATTTTATTTCATTGGTTGAACTCAATGAAGTTTAGTTCTTAGATGTCGTTGCTGGTGAGCTGTCCTTGGCAATTAAGAACCTTCCATAACGTGACTCTGACATCTCAACATTTAGCTTCCACAAGAGAACACTCTTGTGGAACATGGAGAACTTGCAGTTGCTCTTAATTAGCCCTGTGTGGAAACAATACAGATCATTCTGCTGACAGCTTGTCAGAAATAGTTACATAGCCTCTGAGTGACTACAAGAAGCTGGACAATGGAGGGATTCACATGGAATATTTCTGCAATATACTGTCTTATCCACAAGGGATGACCTAGGGGGGAAAAAAAAAAACAAACTAATTAGAAGGTTTTTTGCAATATACCAACTGTGGTGTAATAAATGACATAGTGTGGCTCTTCTAGCCATAAGTCTTTGTGAACTCCATGGTGGAATTTGCTGTGAGCAAATGAGTAGCTCCTGATTGCTAAAGTTATCCTCCAGGGTATTTCTGTTGAACCAACATGAAGCAATCTTCTGGGAAGTTCATTCTCTCTCAAGTATATAGAATTCTGATGTTGGGATTAGTTAGTGGTCACTCTGCCTGGCTCAAAAGAGAGAGACACATGCTGCTGAGAGAGAGAGACATCGAGAGACATGCACTGCTGCAACAGACTGAGAGAGACTGTCACCTGAGAGACGGTGGGCTGCGAGAGTCTAAGTGAATTTCTGAACTTGAATTGTAGCCTGTTGCTTGCCTAAAAAACCCTATAATCTGTGAGTTCTGTGTAGCCACTGCAGTGAATTATAGAACCGAGCAGAGAGGTGGTGGGTGCTGCTGGAGGAGTGTCTGGTGTCAGGTTTGGGGAGAGGGCTGGAGGGAGGCAGCATGTCTGACCTCGCAGGAATAGACCTTGGGCTGCTGATGGTGATTCTGTCTTCCTCTTGTGGGGTTACATGAGGTCAGAAGATGCGGCCACCCTGCTCCTTTGGCACCAACCAAGAGATTATAGGAGACTAAATTAAGGCAAGTATAAAAGAAAGAGCAGAAAGAAGTATAATTGAGAACTTGAAGTATAATGTTCATTCAATTTAGACTTCAATTATACAGAGAGAATCAGAAAGAGAATAGAATCTGATATGCTTTGAATTAGTGTTACTCAAAGTATGGTCTGAAAACTGGTGCTTTTCTATGAACAGTTTGTTACAAGTTTAGACAGGTTACATACAGAAATTAAGAGTGAGTATTGAGAAATTTTTATATCAATCTGACATTGCTATTATTCAAGTGCATGATCAGTAGACTTATCTGGATGAGCAGAAAATGGACCAGTTTGGTTGTTGATGAACTTATGTGATGACTGACATAAAGTATGCTGAATGCTATTCATGTGCAGTTGGGCAATACATTGGTTCACAATGAATTTAAAATAAAAACTGGATTTTTACCAGAAATGGTTTGAGAAATAATTCTCTGGATGACAAGGTGAATGGTAGTGGTACTAATCAGGAGAATGGACAAATTGGAAAGGGAAAAGAGTAAACTTAGTTTTAGGTCAAGTAAAGAAATTGAAGGAAAAATAGTGAATTAAAAGGCAAGACATACTGGAAGAGGTGCCATAAGAGCACATAGAGTCGAAAGTAACCAAGTCTAGGGAGGCAAAGTTTCTAGGAAAAGGAAATAACCAATTCAATACCTAAGGGGCAACTGGGAAAAGAGAAAAGGTAGAGGGAATGGCCATGATTCTTTTTTTTTTTTTTCAGCAGGAACAATGTGAGTGAATTAATATGAAGCCAGGTACAGTCAAATATCTCAGTCTGAGTTACACTTGAACTAGACATTCAAAATATGGTTTTCAATTGTCCTTCTCCATTCTTCCCTATCTCAGTAAATAGCATCACCATCTACTCAATTATCAAGTCTAAAAATGTAAACGTCAACCTGAACATCTTTGACTTGTCCTGTAGTATATCAAGGAGCTCTGGTAGCATAGTGCCTAAGGCACTTGACTGCTAACCAGAAGGCTGGCAGTTCAAACCCACCAGCCACTCCTCGGAAGGAAGGTTGGGCAATCCTACTTCCACAGTGATACTGCCTCAGAAACCCAAGGAGGGGTCGCTATGAGTTGGGGCCGACTCGACGGCAAACAACAACAACAACATAGTATATCAGCAATCTTGTTAGCTCTACTCCTAAAATATTTCTTCCTAGGTCTGGCAAACTTTTTACTCTCTATTGATACCATTCTGTACAATCCTTTGAACCTTATCTTATGTGGATGGACCCTGTAATCATTAAAATAAATTTTCAATATCTCAGCCCAAGGGCTTTTATTCCAAGGCAACTCAGATCATGTTATTTTCCTGTTTAAAGTCCTCCAATGGCACTTTGTTTTGGTTACCTCTAGTGTCACTCTAACAGAAATACCACAAATAGGATGGCTTTAACAAAGAGGAGTTTATTCTCTTACAGTTTGAAGGCTTTAAGTCCAAGTGCAAAGCACCAGGGTCTAGGGGCTGGGTGAAAGCCCCTCAACCTTGGGCTTCAGCTCTGCCTCCTGCTCCTGGCCCACTGAAGCTGGTGGCGTTTCTTCACTTAGACAGCTGCTGACTGCTGAGGCCGACAAATCCAAGGTTAACAAGAATAAGGGCATAGTCCTAATGTTACCAAACAACACGGTAGGCCACTAATTCAAGTCCAGGAGAAGTCCCAAGATCAGCAGGGCTGCTGAACAACAACCTGGCTACACACAGGGTTCAAGTGTGCTAAAAAGCTGGAGACCATACTCAAAGATGCTTACATACTGAAAGTAGACCACATCCTAAAATAAAGCAGCTACTCAGCTGCTCCAGGAGATTCTACCATGGACGATTGTCAGTCTCATCAGGCAGAATAACTATGTCCAGCTGCTCAGCCACTCAACTAGGGCCAGCCAAGTTGACAACAACCTTAACTACCACACATTTGTAATAAAATTCAAACTCAAAACAATATCCCAGAAGCTTTCCTTAATCTAAACTCCAAATTTATCTAAAATTCTCTTCTCCATAGTCATTGCACTCAGCCACAAAGACTTTCTTTCTCCTCCTCAAAAATGCAAAGCTCATCCCAACATCTGAGCATTTGCAGTTGCTAATCCATTTGCCTCGAATCCTTTGCCTATCACCCTTGGCACACCCTTCTCAACATCGGCAGCACAGTCTTCACATAATTGTC